ATTTTCTCGGGGTTTCGGGATATCTTTTCGATTCTGTATGTTTTTCTTTTACAGGAGGTGTCGTGGTCAGCATGAGTGCAACAATGTGTATATTCTTGACTCCAATTTGAAGTTTTACGTGCTGAAAATTTGTAACGATTTTCTAGCCCAAAGGCGAGCATAAGCGGCATCAAGAATGTTTATTGTTTTTGTAAAGCTAATAGTGGATGTGCGTTTGATGTAACATATTAACGGACTATGAATTCCTTATTTTTCTTTAAATGCATCGGTGAAGTTTCTCTTTAGAATAAAGCTGAGACCGTCTTCGAAAAGTGTTTGTTTACACGATTCAGTAATGCTGATCATTGAGTTGATTTACTCATTTAGATAACCTGTCGAGCATTCCCCTAAGTATTATATTGGTAAATCTGGTAATTTTACTTAATTTTATTGTCACCAAAATAAATGGAACACTTATCAACATATAGCCAAGAATGGAAACTATTTATCCAAACTGAAAAATGTAATGCTATCTATGATATCTCAGGTTTTTTATGCCGATATTTCTTTTGCCATAAGAAATATAGGCATGTGGTATGTGTTAAATGATAATTCTGTGGATTAGGTTCACATCTTTTAATCCCCCAGCTTTGGTGTTTATGGATGCCTGAGATAGTGGGCTTCTTTAATGTTTTTTATGTTGGGGCTAGACAATGATAGCTATGATATTAGGCTCAATAGGTAGGCAGAGGATTAGGAATCCCTGGGGAACTGTTACATAATACTGGTAAATTATTAGGTAGAGCGTATTAGTTTATACATTACTTATGTATTTTTTGTTATTTATAGGGGATTTGCACTGAAATGTTTCCCTCAGAATGTGCTCTCCCCCAGCTTTCTTTGATAGGTAAGACAGAGCTGGGGTAGGTCTAAAATGACATGTCTCTGAGTGACTCGGATGAGAACATGGCTCTGCAAGGTAAACATCCCTCAATGCCTTGTCAGTCTTGAAATGGTGTGTAAAGTATAAGTAGTATTATCCTCTTTTTCTTTCTTTTTTTTCTTACTATATATACTTATTTATAGGTGAGAAAGGATAGAGGTTTGCCCATGAAAACCGAGTCAAGATTGGTTCTGATTATTTGCACATAGTGAATTATTCAGTCAGGTGTTGTTGTTGTTGTTGTTGTTGTTGTTGTTGTTGTTGTTGTTGTTGTTGTTGTTGTTGTTGTTGTTGTTGTTGTTGTTGTTGTTGTTGTTGTTGTTGTTGTTATTGTTGTTGTTTAGATATTATGAGAAGGCTGTAAACCATCACCTTCTTAGAATAAAATTGAGGTATTCAATAATTACATTACTTACAGAAATCAGTTGGCAAAAGTCTCAAATAATAGAAAAAAAAATAGGACTTCCCAAAACCAAATAATTCATAAAGAAAAGAGTTACAAAAATATGAAATAAGCTTGTAGAATTTGAATTGTGCAGACTATATAGGCTTGATTGTGACTTTTCTTTGATAGATATAGGAATAGGTTATAACATATAGGCAGTGATAAGGTCATATCAAGGAATCTAAGTGATATTTCACAATTTATTTACCAAGAGCAAAAGCATGTGCACTACCTTTCACAGTCTATTGGTACAAGTATTACTTGTGTCACTGGCAATGATGGCAATCTCCTATAACAATAATAGTATGTCTCAGAGTATGTCAATAAATAAAGAAAGTAGGAAGATTTAGAAAATATATATCGATAGAAATTATGAAATATACAAATAAAAACCAAAAAATTGCTGTGAAGCACTACTTTTATCTTACAATAAAAGCCTAAGATTGACTAGTAATTTGAACCTGTTTTATCGTCTAAATCATTATACTTGTAGTAAAATAGGAAGTCATACTGCTAAACAACCGAATGGCCAGTATTGATATGCTGATTATTGGGACATATATAAAACAGCATGATTATTTGAAAATTTAAATCATAATCATTGTTCTGCTGTTGATTCTTTGGCCTCAAAATGTAGACTTTGTGATTGTATCACATTGAAGCAGAATGCCTCCCAGATAAAGAAGGTAGCAACCATTTTTGCCTGAAATCTGTCTTGATCTTGTGCTAAGGAGGAGCTATACTACTATTTTTTATTAATGAATGGAATATTTTATATAGAATATAACCTCATCACATACCATTTAAATAATGTGATGTGTGTGTGTGTGTGTGTGCAGATATGCACATATATATATATATATATATATATATATATATATATATATATATATATATATATATATATATTTTTTTTTTTTTTTTTTTTTTTATTTATATATATATATTTATGTTTATATATATTGATATATTTGTATATATTTGTATATATTTATATATATAAGAGAGAGAGAGATAGAAAGAAAGAGAGAGAGACAGAGCACGAGAGACACAGAGTACGAGAGAGAGAGAGAGAGCTAGACCACGAGAGAGAGAGAAAGAGAAAGAGATGATGAGAGAGAGAGAGAGAACAC